GGCATCCACCACACGCACTGCCTGGTCTAGTAGACACAGACGCAGACGCGGACATACATACGCAGACACGTTGCTGTGTGCACCACCATCAATCAAGCTTCACGATAGAGGGGCGGCGGGAGAGGGTACTACCCCCGGCGTGTAAGTGATGGAGGGGCACAATAGAACAACAGAATGAGCTCTTCTCTTCTTTCGATCAGGACTTTTGCATGGCGGATATGCGTCTGCAGAACCCTGGTGCTTTTTGACTTATCCTTACACAACAGCTCTCCTCTATTCGCTGCGTCAAGCGACGATGTCCAAACAACAAAGCCAATGCCCCTCCAAGAATAAAATCGAAAAAAATAAATGGTCCTTGGCAACAAGTTTTCCAGGTTTCCCCTCCCCCTCCAACAGTCTAGCCAACCCTACTGCGGACGCTATAACAACAAGGCGGTCTTTTTTCAGCTTTTCTCTCTCTCTCTCTGTTCCTCACCGACTCTTGCAAAAGACGGTGCCCGTTGCTCGGGTGCGTGCCGTTGATGGGGATGCACCAGCGCGGGGCCCTTTTGCAAAGACGGGCCGCTATCAGAGGGAGCACAGAGCTTCAAGGACAGGACTCGAGGGAGAGAAAAAAAAAAGACGGACTCCATCGCCCTGCAGCTCCCCGAGACCTAGATCACGACGTGGACGCAAAACGGCCAAGGCTGAAGGTATACAAGGACCAGAAGCTGGCCGCATAGTGACGTATGCAGGATCCCACAGATCCATCGCGGCTCTCAGTGAAACGTTGTTGTTGTTGAAGGCTCAGAGAGAAAAACTGTGTGTGTACTACGGTAGGAAATCTGCATGTTGCAGTATCATGGCGTGCAGTAAAGTTGCTTCTCTAGTGTTTTTACAATGCTCAAGATATATACATACATTTACATATACATTACATTACATTTTGACTAGACTTCAAGCCGTTGCAGATGTAACCTTCCGCTAACACAAGACAAGATCAAGCGCCGACGATCAAAAAAGCACACCGCAGCAACACCGCCGTTTTAAAGATCGCGGAACTAGAATGCAGTGCCCGCTATAGCCTCCACTTTGCTTGACAAGGGCGATCACTCTTGTTTCTATATTGCTTTTTTTTTTTTCTCTTTTTTCCCTTCACACTGGAAAAATCTCTTCTCCAAATGCATGAGAGCGCTTAAGGTGTGCAGCGAGGCCATTAGGGCAAAGACACGCAGCTGCATGCATTGCATATTTTAAAAGAGGGTCTCTTTTGACATGTCTTCTGTTGGAGCGCCAACGCCCTGCTGTGCTGCATCACGATGGAGTATTATAGCTAGATTTTTCCAGTTGTCGGTGACGAAATAGAAGCCTAGAATAGTCTGATCCCGGTAGTCCCGTGGACAAGAAGAACAGCAGAGAGGGGAGAAGAGAAGAGTCATACGTGAGGTGAGCCCCTCCAGTTCAAGGCTCAGGCGCGTTCATGCCCAGCGGTTCTCTAGAAGGTGGTGTTGTCTGCGTTGTCCATGCCTCGAGGGTACATGATGGATGCTCTTGGATGCTGGGCCCTTTCGGGTCCGGCCGTAGAACAAATAAGATCCGGCCAATGGATGCATTAGCACAATCTGCAGCTCGGGAACCAGAACGACATGTTCCCGCTCCTTCACACGTCACATCACATCTCAGTTTTGGGAAAAGCATAGGCTATGTACCAATGGCGAGATTAGGGCATGGCAAAGAGGAGAGCAAGGGGGGTCGACATGAAGCCCTGTGTTGTTTATGCAGTAGGTAACCAACCCTAGACCACAGAATGAATATTCGCAAATCGAAATGACAGGGCGAGCGGAGGAGGAAGTGAGAAAGTCGTGATAAGGTCTATTAGTTCGTGATATTCATCATGATCCCTCAGTATGGCATGTGAAGAGGTGGTCTGCTGCCAAGGTAATTACCACCTCAGCGCTTACACATCATTTGCTCGTGAGAATAGTAACATTGGCCAGCAGGCCTCAAAATCATAGTGGTGATTTTTTTTGGTTCAACACGCACCCCTCCATTGCATGACTACCAGTACTAGCCACGTGGGATGTGGCTGTGCATTTCGAGGGTCCAGCCACAACCACTCGACCGGGTCCGCCAACGGGATCCGATTCGGGTTTGGACTGGAGTCCGGCAGCGGCAGGCGGGAGGGAAGGCATGTGATGGGTCCTGCATGAGACCCCGTGGTTCCCGATTTTCTGGGTCCCTTATTCGGCCCCATCCATCGAACATCTCCATTTTCTCATCGGGCTGACGTGACGTGACAATTTGTGACCCTAATTAATTCAAGTGACGTAGGACGATATCAAACCTCAAAAGTGAATCATTCGAATGACAATTATTGCTCGTCTGTGACTGATAAGAATGACCGTGTCCCCTGCTGCCTAAATCAGGTCCATCCTGTCATTTCATCAACGACTCCCCCGCCACCCAATTTACATCCAATGCTTCTTTGGCGATTGGGCATCTTTCGCCCCCCGTTTAGCATGACCTGACAAAATCCCCAACAATTCAACCATTCATTCTTTTCTCAAGAATCAATCGTTATCGACAAGCCTACACAAATGAGTCACACTTTATCGCAAACGCTCGTGAACTTGAATAGTTGGCCAGCACATCATGGAAGCCCCTGACACAGCCACACCGATATGTCAAACCGACCATCGAATCAACTGCCTTACCTCCTGCTTGGTACAAGTCATTTGAGCAGAGTCCTAATGTGCCAGGATATGTGATAGGCAGCAACGCGCAAGAGGGAGCTCGCGATGACGCACACGCGATATCTCAGATTCCTGATACGCGAAACGTGTCGCGCCAGGCAATATCTCGCGCGAGGCAAGCACTCCACATGTCGAGAGCCAATACAAAACCGCGGGGTAAGAGGCACAGCCTTGTGAAATGTCATTCACGGTGCTGGTGAATGGTGGCGATGTCAGCAAATGGGACGGAAGACCGGGCTGATATCCGTGATATTGACACGCCTTTCTTGAAATGGAGGTTGGTATAGTGGTTATATGTAAAGCAGTCGACGATTGAATAGGTTTACTGAAGATTATTGGTGATAGTAGAGGCTTGAACAGTTGTCGGGTCGACCAATGTGAGGGCATCGTAGGACACAACGTCCTGAGGAGAGAGTCACAAGTGAATTGGCAAGGGGCAAATCAGCATTGCTGGAGATAGGACTTTGCAGACCAAGAAGCCTTGGAGTAGCGTGTGAGAACCCATACGTTTCCCTTCGATGAAGGGACACTGCGAAGCTTTGACTGCGATACCTCAGGCACCGCCAAGTCTCGAACGTCCGCCCTTACTGATTACCTCAATATTGAAGTGACCGCAAATCATGTCTTGGCCGTGAGTTGAGGATGATGTGGCGTTGGCTCTTCCATACTCCTGCCTCCATGACAACTTCAACACTACATTTCCTCGAATTATCTTTCATTTTGAATGGCAGTACTTGTTCTCTACAGAGAGACATGTTTGATAGCAAGATAATTGAGGTTTCACAGTCAGCCGACAAATGCTTCAAGGCCACTTACATGAGCCATGTCGCACCTCTCCTCCGTGTGTATATCTACTTCCTAAGAATGTACATACAGAGTAAAGAGATATCCATATAACCGCCAAATCCGACGGCAATTTGTATAAGTATTCGAAGCGGCCGCTTCAGTCACCAAGGCGGTGCACTACCATGCCCCTTTTCTACATCACAGAGTACTCTGTGTAAGAGATGCGCTAGACGTCAAGGGAATGATGCCTGAGGGCCAAAGTCTATAGACGTCAACCATATCGGCGGTGATGTACCTATAGACAAGAGAAGACCCACGAGTTGCACGATTGAGGGATACAAGCAAGTCTTACAACCCCAAGATCCACATCTTAATGAATACCTCCTAAGGGATGTTTATAGTCCAAGTGCTGGTCTGTAAGACCTGTTAGTAGTTACTTGAGAATAAAAACTTCGAGAGTCAAGTCATGTAACAGCAAAGCTGGAGAAGTTCTTGTTGACTGTACAGTCAGCTTGTCCAGAGGACGGAGTCTTGGGGCAGACAGCCAGATGAGTCCCGTGATTCTCGATTGACCCAGAAGTCAAAAATCATGCAGGGAATGAAATTAAACAGTTTGAGATATGGTAACTTGCTCTGAGGTTCAAGTACTGTTAGTTGCCCCGTAGGTAGGTGATGTACCCGCTCTGCACTTGATGATTGCTTCTGTTAAGGTCACTCTGTATGACATCGGTGCTAGATTTAGCTACAGTAGAGACATGTAAGTCCCCTTGGTCTAAATAAAGTTGAAATCCTCCTAGAGTATGTCTCAAGCTCCAAAGTGTCTAGCACATGGGGAATATGAATAGAAACGTCTTGCTTATTGCTAAACTCTACAACCGTGCACATAAAACTCTACCTTACTATGACAAGGTCTGCGGATGTCTTGGTAGCTGGATGCTCTGGAAACGAGGTTTGCAGATTCAGAAATCTTTAAAGATCGGAAGTACGGGTCTATTGCTCTTGAACGAACATCAAGAAGGTAGCAATACTACATAAACATGGAATGAGAGTAAGATCCTAGGACCTGAGCAACTGCCGACATATTGTACTACAGAATTAGAATAACTGCTGGTGTATTCTATGGAATCAGGCCAAGCGGCAAAGTGAAGCTGCATATCGCAGTGCCAACTCGATGTGGTGCTAGGTCAGTGTAGACATAAGAAATTGGACCGAATGATTAGAAGGGCAAGAAGATGAATGGCTTGAGGGAGGAAGAAAACAATTTAGAACATTGTAATTTATTCAAGAAAGCACCGAGATCTGTCTGTAAATTGGATCGCGTTATACTATAAAACATGGCAATAAGAAAACCGCAAAGACACTTTCCTCCTATCCCTTCTAACATTTTCTCTATGAGCCAGTAACTCCCAGAACACCATAGCGCCAACTGCTGAATTGCAGACAACAAAATTACGCCTTCTCTATCGGGCCCAGAAGAGCGGGATGCGCTCCAGGTTTGCATCTTTCACTCTTCTTCGTCTTAAGCTCATTGAAGCTGCATTTAGCATGGGACTTGAGACAACTAATGCAGGCGTACGTCCCAATTTCCTCTGGATAAGGAGCCACAATGCACTTTCCGGCCTTCTTGCAGCATCTGCAAGGAACACTGGCTGGTACCCCGTGATCTTCCAGTTTGTGGACCTTTTCGTGGTCCGCGAAGTTGCTCTTGTTGTACTCCTTGCCGTTGCACTTGGGGCATGGCTTCCGATTGTTGACCTTGCTGCTTTTGATGATGGTGCTGGTGCTGCTGGTGCTGCTGGTGCTGCTGGTGCTGCTGGTGCTGCTGTTGGTGCTGGTGCCGTTGGTGCTGCTAGAGCTTCCCCTTGGGTGCGTGCAGGGCTCCTCCGGGGACCCTATGATAACGCACAAGTGGCAGCGTTTGTATGTAGCGCCCTGCTGCTGAGCGTTGATTGGTGTAAAAGAAGACATGTCTGGTGGTGGGTTAGACGTGAGTTGAATATGAGGGTGATTTGACTCACTGTTTGGTAGGGATGTTTTGAAGTGATAAAGTTGAAATGTTCTTATGTGACTGAGAGTGAGAGTGAGACACTTGAGATGTTTTGAGGTAATAAAGGGTAAAGAAATGAGAGAATAAAGGTAAAGGACTGATTATTTTATAGTAAAAGGACGAGAAGATACATCAAGACAGGAAAGTTATTTTTAAGAGGAAGTGGTATACTTTCGTTTGCAGAGGAAGCTACAGCTGCGATCACCAATTGAGAAGCAAGCCATCACATTGCGCGCATTTCCTGAATAAAGCATATAATAAATCCCCGAATAGTCCCCTAAGATCATTGGGCATCTCCTACGTCACGGGGATCAAAGTTCTTTTTGGCTTGTTCTTGAAGCAAGTTTTTGATCATCGGTGAGTCAGGGGGGACTACAGTATGAAGATATTCGCCTGTCTACGGGGATAAACTTCTGTTACATACAGCCATGAGCACATTTTCATTGCATTACGATGCTTGGGGTGAAAGCTTGTCTAATATTGAACTAAATGAAGCTTTTGACTCGGGGTGAGGGCATACGCAAGTTGGCAACGTCACTCTGGAGGGGCAGACGAAAATGATGGCTACTGCATGCTTCGACTGAGGAGATATTTGTATCCCTCACTCTAATAAATCTGATAACGATGAGATGGATATACAGAGTTATTAGGGGTAATGCGGTCGAGTTTAGTTGGCTAACAGAAGAGCATTTACCTTGCTATGGTAGCCATGGTACATTTCCTTGTCACTCCGAGCTGGAGACACAGATTCATGGATGTGAGCATCTATAGACTTTGGGAAAGCCATTTAACTTCCTCTAGAAAGACATGGCGAATTTCTGCTGCCTAGCCAAGTCTTTTCTGACCGAGCATGCTGTTCTTGTGAGTAAACGGGGTCATAACAATGAGTGGCTTGTTGTTCAACATGATGTTATTACTACAATTACTAGTAGTACGGACCACGTTATATCATTGACAATCGATATTCAGTATGGGAATATGCCGAGTCCCATTTGATACGAAAATCATGGCTATGATACGAAATTGACGGGGACCCATATTCCTACCTGAGTTGAGGCTCTTAGACGAGATATCATGGTTTCACTATAGTTTTCCGATTACCCCTGAAAATGCGCGCAATTCGGAAGCATAAAAGGTACTGACCAACGAATCGCCAGAATTTCACTATAAGCTTTCATCTGGCGCCGTTCATGAGCGCCCCCTTTGAACGCTCCGGGGAGTGGCATATTACAGAGTATCAGGGCCCACCTTTGAAAACCTTCGCTGCAAGGACCAGGAGCGCCGCATGCTGCCTCACTTACTTTATCTTGCAATTGCGAGGGATTGCCAGTCGCGTTTCGAAAGAGCTCACTTGGATTAGAGTATCACGTGTGATTTCGCGTGGTGTTACATGAAGGCCGGCATGCCTTGCTTCTGGTGTCATGCAATTACACCTCTGTCGAGGTTCAAATAATAAGCACTTACACCGGCCTGTACTCAAAAATAGCAACGGTCGGGTCAATGGTGATGTTTGTAGAGCAAAAACAACTACATGTTTGGCAATTGAATTGCAGAGGGGACTGTATTCTGCTTCACAAAACAAAAAACACTCCTGTCCATGAATGCTCGTTCTCTCGATTGTCAAACATAAAAAGTATACCGTTGCTGAGGGTGGTGTGATCTCAAATGACGATAAATAAGGCGACAAATTGCCAGACACAAAGTCACAAACAGAAAAGATCTGATACCCGGAGACCCCCGGCAATCTGGATCGATCTAAATGAGCAAGGATTTATATACATACAATAAGTATCAGGCGTCTTTCACGTGGAATTGTCATCCCACGTTCTGACGTTAAGCCTCAGCTGTTCCCATTCCCCGCAACGCAACTCGCTGGAGCTGAGGGGCGATATCCCGAAACCGACCGCCGCAGCCCGTGAGCCGCGACATCAGATCATTTCGGCATCTAACTCAAGTGAGGGACGCTATCTTACCGAGGGACAACTCAGGAACACGACACGTATTAGGGGAAAACTGACGTGTTTGTCATGACGAGGCAAACACGCCAAGGCACTTTTTTATCAGGGAGTCTTTAAGCTTAAAGGCGCTGAGGTCCCCCCCACTGTAAGCCATTCTAAGGGTTCAACATTTATGAATGTCACTTGCGTCAACCACCTTCAACGTCACTTCAGGAACAGACAAAATCTCCGAGACACACTCCAACAAAGCAAGACACACATATTTATTAGTGGAAAGCCACCAAAGTCATGTGCATCGTCCTTCTCACTACTGCGCATCCCGATTATGCATTGATCGCCATCGATAATCGGGACGAGTTCATTCTTAGGCCGACATCGCGGCCTCACTGGTGGACTCACGGTACATCTGGCCGACCAGTCTTGTCATCACGGGATCTTCAACGAGCAGAGAAAGGAACATGGATGGGCATTAGCAAGGACGGTCTGATGGCCGTACTCACCAATTACCGAGAAACAGATGTTCAGGACCAGAATCATCCCATTCATGCTGCCAAAAGCCGCGGCGGTATGGTCACCGCCTGGTTGGGAACACCACCCGAAGAGAGCCTCAAGGACAGCGTCCACAAACTGGTCGAGAACGACGGCGTTAAGGGCGTCGGCGGATTTTCCATGGTTTGCGGTAAGCTGAGGAAGCAGACTCAAGGTATTGCGATTGTAAGCAACCGGGCGGGTAATGTCGAGGAAGTGCCCATTGTCGCCAAAGAGCGCGGTGAGATTTGGGGTCTAAGCAACACTGCCTTTGATTCGACAGGGAAACAAGAAGAATGGCCCAAGATCGAAATGGGCAAAAAGCTCTTCCGCGAAGCTATCGACAAGTCGGTGTCGGACAAGAAAAGCAAGGACGACTTTGTTTCGGACCTCTTTGATGTTCTCAGCCACGACACACTACCCAGAAACGAAAACGCCAGTCTCGTCGAATATATCCACGAGCTCAAGAAGAGTGTCTTCATCCCCTTGATCGGCGACGAAAAGCATCGAAAGGCAATGGAAGCGGCCATGGCGAAGGGACCCGGTGAATGGACAGATGATCAAGCGGCTGCCGAAGAGCTGATGTCCGAAGGACGACCGGACCCTAGTACAACGCCTATCATGGGTTTTGAGACTGGCATGTACGGCACCCAGCGACAGACCGTGGTTCTGGTCGATTGGGAGGGTAATGTCACGATGGTAGAGCGGGCGCTTTGGGATGGCAATGGCAATGCAGTGCCAAAGGGAGAAGGCGATTTCAAGTTTGAGTTTGAGATCAATGGGTGGAATGATGAGTTTTGTAATGGAAGCACAAATGGTATGCATGGAGAGACGAACGGGCACTGGTAGACGGTGTTGAGATGGTTGTCACGAAGACAATGCATTGGATAAGAAGCCTTAGACAAAGAATAGACAGGCACTTGATATCAAGACCACGATGAGCTCCCAACCGGCTCGCTATTCTAATGACAATAACAGCAGTAGCTCCTCTATAAGATAGGGGAAGAACTGCCCTGGGGGTACAAATTCCTCTAGCGCAAGCAGGCAAGGCAGCTGTCAACTGTTCGTCACTGGCAAAGTCCAAAGCTCCCGTCGACCTGACACTGACACTGGCAAAACTTCACTTCCACACATCAAAACAAACCAAACAAGACGTCTCCAGCAACGCGTCCAAAATGAGTCCATGTTTTCTGATACAACAACAAAGCCAGCATCACCTTTAGCTTCCGCAGCGACCTACAACAACAATGGAGGCTTTTCGAAACAGCAGCACTGGCTTCCAGAAATCCTCTTCTCGACTTCGTCTACCCACCCCGTCTAATGTCTTCTCACGAGGAAAGAAGAAGCGTCCTGTTATCTCTGGCCCGATTGGACCCGTCAAGAACTCTCGAGGTCCCGACTTCACTCGAAGTGAAACCCTCATCATTGTTCCCACCATCAAAGACTGCAGTGGCTCAGACGAGTCATTGTCCGACAAAGAAAACGTTGAAGCTAGGAAAGCAACTCGACGACTCTCTGCTAGCTTCTCGGCACAAGGATCACTTGCTAGTCCTCCTACTGTCGCTAGGTCTGGGCTGACTGCGACTTCGAGTTGCAACCTGAATGCAGCCTCTTGCTCAACTTCAACAAAGACCCGCATACCAACAACCAAATTTCATCTGCCTACAACAAAGAGAACGCTGAGCTCCCCGAAGCCTGGCATTACTACTTCATCTTCGCACCAGCGCCTTTCGAATGCTGCTCCAATCAAGCCTTTACCGACTACCAGCTCATTCAACTCTATCTATGAGGACTTGAGCTACGAGACCACCGCCCAAGACGAGAACGTCCCCCCGTCCAACTATAAAAAGCCAGTCCTCCTGGAACATGCTCCCCAGGACAGCTTTCAGAAGAACAAAAGTCGTCTTCCAAAGTCACGAACATTGGCCGTTTTGAGCGATCTTAAAACATCCATCTCCCGATCTTCACTCAACTCTAAATTCTCCTCCTCCCGCGATTCCGATGACCCATCATCCCGCAAAACGTCTGCATCTTCAACAAGTAGCTTATTCGCATCAACTACCTCACGACTTGGATTGTCGCGAGCTTCTCTAGTTTCGCGATCTAGCAGCAGTTCCGGCACCACGGCGACAGAAGTGCAACCAGACCCCAGCCATATCACCACATCACAACCATCTGCATATTGGTCCGGGCGCTTTGTTTCTCTGCATGATCGTTTCTTAGCCGAAGAATACAGCAATGGGGAGACTAACGCCTGGGGCTCGAGCCCTGGGCATCCTTTTCAATACCACGCAATGACCACTGATCGCGTGGCTGTCAACTCCCGTCCGACTCACCTCTCCCACTCCACCACCACATCGGCACTTACAAGCCTAACTGGAACAAAGCCTCGCACCCCACCATGCAGTAAGGATGCTAGATGCCTGCGAATTTTCCAACACCTCGAAAGCCTTTGTACTACAAGCGAAGCACGCCGCTCATTGGTAGCCTGGCAGCAGTCATATGCTCGTCGCGTGGGAAAGCCACAACTCCTCCCTCAGGGAGGCCGCATGGAGGACAAGAGTCTGATGGGCAAGATTTTTGGCACAAACCCCAACAAAGGAGGAAGACGAAGCCTCCCAGCTATGAGCGAATCGCGCGTACCAATCGCCAGAAAGACGAAGCCCGCTCCTGCGGTTAGAGGACGTGGGAAGCGGGTTTCCATCAACTGATGCTCTTTGTCGGAAGAAGAAGACAAGCACGGACACACATAATTGCTTTTTGTTCTGAGCTAACTTATAATTGCTTGGATCATTTTAAAGTGTATAATAGTTGAAAGGGACATGTTACAGCCAACAGTTGGCATTGTGTACACCTCTATGTTAGCGATTTGTTTCCTGATGGAGGCGCAAGGTGTCGAAGCATGTGCTGTTTGTTTTTATCGTCGAGTTTGTATTATGATTGAAGACGCATGGAGGAATGCAGGTAATGCTGTAGCTATAATGACTAATTCCTTTTCGATGTCAATATTTCGCCGAAAGGGTGAAAGGAATCACGAGACTGTTCTTTTAATCTGAAAGATTCAACAACAGCTTAGGATAACTTTAGTGTAGGGAGTCCTTAGCTTAGACTATTTAGATAAATTTAGAGTATTTGGACAAGTTCAATGTAGCAATTCGAGCTCGTTTTTATTAGAGGACTTGAGTCTCGTCCCTAAGCCGAGACATCTGTGTGTCAGAAAGTTCAACATCCTAGTAACATTGTCGGATAAAGTCCACAAAGTCTTCGTTCGCTCGGATCATATTTGAACCTTCTTGATACCGAATTGTATTGATTCTAGCCTGAAATGCAGTCACACAACGCCAACCGTATCTTGGCCCCCCTTTCAAGTTGAATATCGTTTTAGTGAGTCCATCTAGACACATCCCATCGACGCCAAAAACTCCAATGCTGTTGATCTCTTACCCCCCCTTCCCATCTTACGAAAGTCTTCTCATTCCGTCTTCTTGCGAATCTTCATATAATCTCTAATCTGTTCGTGCTTGCTCGCAAAAAACATCTGCCGAGCATCGTTTTTCCACACCAAAACACCCACTTCCTCGGCAAATCTCGAGATATCCTTGTATTCCCTATCATCCTCGAATGACTTGAACAGAAACCCACTTGTTGTCTTCATACGCTCGTTTTCGAGCTGCCATAGACGAATTTGATCGACTACTGTTGGGGGGAGAACGGGTTTGTTGTTCAGAGCTGCGGTACGGTGCATTTGATCGTGGGCGTGCGCGGAGAGGTAGGATATGATCTGCTCGGCGGTGATGCCGAATTGAATGGCTTGTCGAATTGATTGGCGGGAGATTCGGCCGGCGACCATGTCGGGGAAGCGCATCGCGAGTTTGGTGAAGAGAGCGAGGACCGCGATCTGAAGTGTTGACTGAGTGTAGGCGTAGATACGGTAATTCGTCTCGATAATCACACTGCCGCGCTGCTCGGTATTAGCGGCTGTGACGCTGCCCCCTGGTGCGCCAGATTGGCCTGGCTGAAGAGCAGCTGCCGTCGCGGCTGCAACGCCATCACTAATGCTGCGAAGACTATTGCTGCTCGAGGTGAGGGTTGTAGCCAAACGAGTCGGGAAGAACATGGACCTTTTGTGATTTGGGATGTAAATCAACCCAAAGTCGACAAGCGAGGGTAACATGTTCTTACGCTGTTCCGTCAGCGCATTCGTGTCGTATGCGCGACCAAGTTCCATACTGGCGAGGACGAAGAGGAACGAGAGCATATCTGTAGCCTCCAACCCAGCCATCTTATTCACCTCCATAGCCTCTAGCCAAAGCAACAGCAGCGTCCATACTTGCGCATTGGCCTCCTGCAGCAAAAAGGTAAAACCAGCCTGTGTGATACCAACGCTACCGCTTGCTTTACGATCGACGAGACGGCCCGCGACGAGGAGTTCTTTCACGCTCTTATTCGGTCCAGAAGACTCGCCGGCGCTCTTGTAGCCGACACTAGATACGACAAAGTGCAGGATATCTTCCCATTTCTTTCGTGCGTAGCGATCGAGAAAGGTGATGTCGATTTCGGGGGGGATTTGCAGTGTTGACGGTACACCGAAGGAGTTATGTGTGCCACCGCCTGATAGCGCGAGTCGAAGGGATAGTTTGAAGTTCGTAGTAAGTTGCATTTCCTGCGGTCGTTCCTTTGACGGTGCCGTGATCGAAACGATGTGCAGAACGCGCAGGATCGACAGCGCCTGGTCCTTCTGGCGCTTATGGCTCGGTTTCACCCAGTCGTCTAGATCGCTGAGGAGTATAGGTTTGGGAGAGTAGAGAATGCGCATGACAAAGGTCTTTGCTAGGGGGTGTGTTAGAGATTGGGCGGGTGTAGTGGTTGTGGTGACGAACCGAGGTGCGGTAGCATGCGACGGAAGATGGCGAACGCGGTTGAGGGTTGTTGGTAGAGCTTTCGGAAGGTCGTGCCGGGGAGTTTCTCGAGATACTCCGCGAGCTGGAGGGAGGGCGCTGGGCTGACTGACATGTTGGGCGACGGGGGGAGCGCTCTGTCAGTCAGTATTTAAGGGTGCTATCGCATGATCGACTGGTGTTGAATGGGGGAGGTTTGTCTCGGTGCGCGTGGGTGATGAAAGGGATGTTGGATCTTTGAGTAGAAGAATCGGTAGTGTATGTCGTGGTGTCGTCTAAGCGCCGAATGTGGTGTGGTCAAATGTTTCCAAAAGCCTAAGATTTGAAGTTCTTTGAAAGTTCACGAAAGCTATTGAGCATGAGCTCTCCAGGCACGATGAATTATTTTCGGGCTAGCGTTTAGCGACGCGGGTTTAGCGGGAAAAGCTCGGTAAACGACGTCATACATGCACCCCAGGGCGATCGATCTACAGCCCGATCGTCGACCTACCTACAGCAACTCATTGCAGATGTGATTGTAAGCCGATAAAGTAGCTTGTGATTGAACCTTTTGTTTCTTTATTATGTCTAGAAAGGGGGAATAGTATAGTGCAACAAAATCTACCGAGCAGCTAAAGGGTTCTCAAGGACCAAGTACATGCTTGGCCGTGAAAATAGGCTGCATCGAGGAGGGTTGCTTCAGACTGACATGAACTTCTATATCATTGATCCTGGCAGATAACTGAATTCTGTCCAATAGGGAATTACCTGCCACAGATGTTGCTTTGGATGTACCTTCTGAGATCAACATATCTGTTACCAAATGCATTGTATATTGGCGACTCTAGTTTTCTATCTATTCCCGCTGTAGAGCTAAAAGTTAGAGATAGTCGTTCCAACATTTCTCCTCCTAGCAAGGTCCAGGATGGCGTTTCCAGCGGCGAGATCTGTGACACTCACACCAATGCCTTTGTACACGATGAAGCCTTCACTAATCCACTTCTTCAGCTTCTCAACACCTCCTTCCGGCTTCCTTTCAGACTTCTCATCAAACCAATGCAGTATTTCTCCAACCTGAAGTAGCCTTTCACCCTTAAGACCGCTCTGTATCACTTCTCCTGACTTGACCATTGCTTCTTCCAGATCGTCGACAAGAATACTGCCCTCCGCACCACGAGGACTGTATGAGTCGTCGCGAGAGGCAGCATGGCGAAGCATTTCTGGATCGAGTTCGATCATATCCGCTTGCCATGAGCCAATGGCGCCGACGAAAGGTAATCTGCCTCGTGTTCCCTCACCTAGGATGGTCTTGAGTGAGAACAGAGGACTAGTTGAGCCAACGGTGCAGAACACTGCGTCAGCTGATGATAGGAGAGATGCCAGAGCCGCATCGTAATCAGACTGAGCAGGGTCCAGAACATCCAGAGTGGCAGAAGACTTCCAGTACTTTTGGTTTTCTTCTGTAACCGTCTTGACCAAATCCTTCGCCCGACCCACGGATCTGTTGACAATGGAGATCTTTTTGATCTCGGAACCTCTCAGAGCTAATGCCAGACGAGTATGCCAAAGCCCTTGCTTCCCCGCTCCAAAGATCACAATGTTCTCCGTATTCTTTCTCCAAGTCCACGGGATCAAGGCAGATAAAGTTGTTCGATACCCCGTGGGCTCAGCTGCATTGAGTACACCCGTCGGCACACCCGCTGAATCGCACAAAGACAAAAGCCCTCCAAGTGGACGATTCACCGTGTTGCCATCTGCGTCCTCGATTGGAGCTGGCGTAACAACGATCTTTGTGCCTACATAGTCTGGGGAAGTGAATGTGCGGAAGAGAGTCTTTTGCCCATTTGGCCGATTGACGAAGTCTGGCGTTGGTTGGTATTTCCCTTCACCTTTAACAGAGAAGTCAACAAGGATATTTTCTAGAGTCTTCTTGAAGCGAAGGACCTCTTCTTTGGACAGAGATATGAGAAGATCTCGGATTTCGGAGTCGCCAAGGACGATGAAATTGCTGGCCATTGTGCTGTGCAGAACAATATGAGACTTGTGGCTGAGAGCTTAAATCCGCAGTGAGAACTTAGTGTTGAACAACAAATGAGGAATCAGATGAAGAGTAGAGCTGTGTATATTTGCTGAGCATTGATTGGTATGGCTATATAAACCTGATGCTTATCGTGGTAGATGACTGCGAAGTCGGCGTTGCAGGGGTAGAACGGCCAGCGTCGGTGCCGGTTCATGGTGCCGTTCCTTACCCCACGGCCGGCCGGTCCATCCGACTGCGGATCGGCACCCGATATCCACCACAGACATGGTCTTAGAATGATAAGACTTGGCGATGACTTGGCAAATATCTTGGGAGATCGTATTGAATTGAGATATACTCAGATTTGCTGATAATTAAATTTGGCGCTGCTTATTGCTCAACTGCAGTCGCATTCTTACACCCTTCCTGAAAGGACTTGAACGAATACTTCCTTGTGACAATCTCATTGTCATACCCAAACTCCACGCCTGTCTGCAACGTATCGTACCCTCCAGCAGTTGGTTTCCATCCTTTCTTTGTCAATCCAGTATAAGGATCCTGAATAAACGCCAACCAGTAATCCTGCATCGCATGACTGATCTTGTACTCAAACGGCCCAGACTTGTTCCGCGCGATGTCGTGAGTTCCAAAGATCAAAGGAAGCTCAGCCGAGTGGAAAGCACCCTCATCTCCGGGCATGATGTTGGTGAAGTTTGATGAGTACATGTATCGCCAGGTCTTGGCGCTAGTTGAGGACCGCAGAGCTGTTTCAAAGTGTGCAGGACAACCAAAGGTACTGTCTGTGTGAACCTGTTCAGGTGGTGGTTTGACTGGAGGTTCTGCTGGCTCTCCACCAAAGTTCCATTCGTCTCTGTTGGTACCAATAATGGATGGCTATTGGGGATGTCAGTACAGTGCTCTTTCACTTAAGGTAAGATGATCTGATGGAGAGCTTACCAGCTTGAGGATCTTGGACGATAGAAGTCGGCTCGAGTAGTCTGAGAACCTGGTTTTCTCATCCACGACAGGGACAAAGCTCACTCCCGCTGTATTCTCGACCTTCTTTTGGATGTCTTTAAAAGGTATCTTCCGGAGGCAATCGACCTGATTGTCTTTGTCACACTTGAACGCCTTTGCGATAGAGGTAAAGTTGGAGTGTGTGAAATCAGCATTGTTGATGGGCAAGAAGACACCACCAGAATCTTGGATGTATGCATGCGCGATTGGGTCCTTAGGATACGCATACTGATAGTATCCCACCGAAGCGCCGCCAGCACTCTGACCCCAGAGAATGATCCTCTTGGGATCTCCCCCGAAGCGTGAGATGTTGTCGCGCACCCACTCAACAGCGAGGCGTTGATCTAGAAGTCCTAGGTTCCGTTCCTTGGAGTCAAGACCCGCAGCATTTGGAAAGCCAAAGACTCCCAGACGATAGCTATTCGTGCGTGGTTAGTCATGTAAAACACAGAAGGGATTGTCTCTACACACTTGAGACTGACGACTATGTGTTTCTGACTTCTTGCAATCCAGTGTGAGGGCACTTGGTAGTCAATATTACCACCGCCCTACACGATACGTCAGTCAATTCACTCTCATCGATGAACTGAACGAAGCAATATGTCTTACGCCAGTGAAACCTCCACCATGGATCCAAACCAACACCGGAAGCTTTCCCTTGTTGCTCGCCCGAGCCTTGTACGGAGTCCAAACATTCAGATACAGACAGTCTTCGCTTGTGCTGTTAGGCTTGATCAGAAACTCAGGGCGCCATGGGCCACTGTTGGATGGTTCAGCTTGAGGACAAGCAGGGCCTTGATGCGATGCATCTAATGTTCCGAATCGTCCTTTGGCTACTGCAGGAGCCCATCGCCGTTTCCCAACCGGAGGTTCGGCATAAGGTATACCGAGGAATTGAGCCACACTGGGAAATGATGCGCCTGTAAAACCCCTAACAACACCGTTATCGGTCTTTACAGTTGTCGTGTCAAGAGCAGACACCAGAGTGCCAATTCCAGCTCCAACGGCCAGGAGATGAGAGATACTAGGCGGAATCATCAGGCGTAACTGTATGTAGGCACGAACGACAGCAATCGAAGTCGTGGGATAGTAAAGCTGCTATCGCGAGTCATTTTGTATCCAAGCTTGAAGCCTCCGATAGTAAGGCCGAATGCCACCTTATATCCACAACCGAGGCATCAAGAAGCGGGGAATGAGGAGTGAAGCTGGAGATCTTCAACAAAATGGCCAGTTTTGGGAGTTTCGATCTTGATTTTTAGCATGATCTGGTGATAATCTGGGGTTGTGATGTTGTGTGGTCATCAGTGTATGAATGATGAATGGTGAATGAGTTTATATGAACTAAGCTCTTTGTATCCTTAACTCATGAATTTACTTGATCTTTGATGACAAACATGTCAACTCGGTGATATTCTTCAATAACCTCATGTATTTAAATGTAAATTGTAACATCTTCCTCGTCTTCTGTTCGGGCAAGAATAATCCGAGCCGAACCGGGACGGTGTTGCATCCGACTACGGATCGCCGACCGACATCCCTCAACTTTACCCCAAATAAGACCCTTAATAAACCCCACGAATCTTTAGTTGATAGCGGCTAAGCTAACCTTCGAGCATGCGGAGAAGCTAAGCTTTCTGGAAGGTCGTTCCAGACTTCAATATAGCAGCCAATGATGGAGGGTTTCGATAAACCTCAGATAGAAACAGCGATATCCTACGGTTGTTGATTCCGAGTTGTGAGACTGTATAAGAGCTTGACTGTAAAGTAGATCTTCATCCGTAACTCATTAATTAACAATCCAGCAACTTTTTGCTCACAACAAAGTCTCCTATACCTCTTCAACATGCCCTTCAAGCGCAGCTTCAACACCGTAGGCGTCCACTGCGGCGGCGAAGTCTGCGACGTCGTAGTCGGCGGCGTTCGCGATGTTCCCGGCAAGACAATGTACGAAAAGATGATGCATTTCTGGAAACACGAAGACCACCTCAGAAACATTCTTCTAAACGAACCACGAGGCTGTTCCGCCATGTGTCACAACCTCGTCTTGCCTCCCACAAACCCAGAAGCCGACTATGGCTTCATCATCATGGAGCATGAAGAGTACCCGCCGATGTCGGGAGCAAATACCGTTGCGATGGTGATGTGTTTGTTGGAGACGGGTATGGTGACGATGCAGGAGCCCGAGACGGTTGTCAAGCTTGATGCGCCAGCTGGACTCGTTACTGCTTATGCGAAGTGTGAGAATGGGAAATGCAAGAGTGTCAGGTTTCATAATGTGCCTGCTTTTGTGTTTGCTACGGACAAGGAGATCTCGGTACCGGATCTAGGCACTGTGAAAGCCGACATTGCATACGGAGGGATGATCTACGTGTTGGTAGATGCTGCATCGGTTGGTCTGAAGATCAAGACTACAGAGGGAGCCAAGCTTGTCGAAGTCGGAGAGCGCATTAAGAGAGCTGTCATGGAACAAACGAATCCAGTACATCCCGAAAACCCTGGTATTCACGGCGTCTCAATCATCGAGTTCACAGAGCCTCTGTATGAGTACAAGGATGGAAAGGCAGCCAACAACACTGTCGTCGTGTCTCCCGGGCGCTTAGATCGAAGCCCCTGCGGAACAGGGACTTGTGCCAGGCTAGCAGTTCTCCACGCAAAAGGAGAGCTGAAGGAGGGCGAGAACTTTTATCACCGCGGCATCACTGGGACGGAATTTGTAGGTAGGGTAGAGGGAACCACCAAGGTTGGGGAGTATTCTGCGATCTATCCCTCTGTCGAAGGACAGGCATGGATAACAAGCTTCAAACAAGTTGTGTTGGATTCCACAGACCCTTTCCCCGAAGGGTTTCGTGTTGGAGATACATGGCATTTGGACCCCGAAGAGTAGATATATATTAACCTAAATAAAGAAAGACTTAAATGAGCTTGGGAAGTTTTAAGTACAGTAATACAGGAGCAGTTAAGTTAATTGCGAGGAATATGCAAATGTCTGCAAAGCATTTCTTGTCTTGCTGACTGGGAGACAGCAACTCTGTAGAACACCAGGTGTCTTCCTTATGGAGGTATGAAGCTTCAGTACCGTGATTCAAGGAAATATAAGTACTTAAATAAGATCAGTGCAGCTTAGCATATCTTTAGACTACTAGTTATTGATATCTTTATCTAAGTTTTGGGGATCTGCTCTCCACAGGGCGAACAGGCTTGATAGTCTTACCGACGCAACAATTTATTCCATATTGAACTAATCCCTATCTTAATAAGAGAATGGACGCCTTCGGTAGAACTCGCTCTCTTCAGGCTTTCCCTCATCAGGAGCATCCACTACATCAGGGTCCAAAAACCACGACGGATCGCCCTCAGTCAACACCTTACTCCAACCATTCCCCATCCACCTCAACAAATTCCCCGTAGGATCCGCACTCTCAAACTTATAGTCCTCCCATCGCGGTGACCTCATCACCTCAAGGCACTGCACAGAAGACCCAGGCCACAACGCTACAACGCGAGACCCAAGCCTACCAGCGCGATACCACGATGAGCACTCATCCGTGTACACAGTGCCTTTGAAGTACTCGTCTATGTACTGGCTGAAGTCAGCTACACGCTCGGGTTTGGCCTCTATGGTAGCGTAGTCTTCCTTTTGAAGCTTGCGGATCGCTTTGACGATGTAGTCGCCCTGTGCTTCGAAGATGCTGAGTAGGCTGCCCGAGCCTAGACCGCAGTTGGGGCCGCCGATGAGGAAGAAGTTGGGGAATTCGTCGACTGCGAGTGAGATATAGGTCTCCCAATGTGGCTTCCACTTTTCTGTGAGCTCCTTGCCATTGCGGCCTCTTATTTGGAAAGTCGGCGGCGCCTCGACGTCGTAGCCAGTCGCGCATACGAGTACGTCAAGCTCAACCTCTTCCCCTGAGGTCACTTTGATTGTACGTTCTGTGATCTCTTCGATCTTTTGACTGATGAAGGTGACATTCTCCTGTTGGAGAGCATTGAGATATCCAGGGCCAGGAGTTAAACGACGACAACCAGGAGCAAATTTTGGGATAATTTGCTGGAGGTCTTTCCTGCCTTCTAGTTTCTCCTGCATCTGCTGTTGGAAAAGCTCTCTCGCCCCTTTCTGAACATCAGATCCCATCAAGGTCAAAGGATAGATTGTTGCAGCTTCGTCTTCGAGTGTCTTTCTCATCTTGTAAAACTTTTGTGGCTGTCTTGCGAGCTGTTCTTGGTGACGGCGCGAGACTTGCCCATGTTAGTCCATCATTCACAGATAGGGGGCTTGTCTAGGAGCTTACACTTGGTCTCTGAAGGATCCATTCCCAACTTCTGCATAGCTGTATCGCCAAATGCAGGAATAATCCAGGTCGGCGATCGAGCGAAACATGTTACTTTGATGCCCTCCAGTTTTTGGATCGCGGGTAAGATTTGAATGGCGCTAGATCCATTGCCAATGATTCCCACGCGTTTGTTTTTCAAGTCGCAACTACCCAATTGTTAAGCTATTTTCAGTTGACGCAGATTAAACATGTACTGACCTCTCATCCCAAGCACCAGAGTGCATAAGCTTACCCGCGAATTGCTTCAGCCCCTTGATCTCCGGCCAAGCTATCTGATTGAGACCACCTTTTGCAGAGACGAGGATGTTTGCAGTATCTTCAAATATCTCTCCGGTCTTGACGTTCTTAACAGTAAGTCTCCTAGAGCCTTTTGTCAGCCTTCTTGAGACCAATCGCGTCCTTTTCGCATCACTTACCAGACCTTGTTTGCCGAGTCCCAAGTTGCCGAAGTGACTTGATGAGACGTCTTGATGAAGCGGTTGGCACCGTATCTCTCGGCGACATCTTGCATATATGCACGGATTTCGGCGCCCGGAGCATAAAGGGAGGACCAATAGGGGTTTGGCGCGAAGCTGAACTGGTAACAATATGCTATCGATTCCATCAGTCCCTGTACAAAAGACCACAACCCAAGATAGAGACTTACAAGGGATATCACAAGCCAGGCCAGGATAGCGATTCAACCACCTGTTTCTCAAGTCAGATTAAGTTTACCGGGATTTGGAGGCTAGATGCTTTACCAGACCCCTGAAGTTTCTTCATTCATCTCATAGACAGTAAGATCAATATTTCTCAGTCTCTGTGTCATTCTATCCGAGTCGTTAGTTTTGGCCCTTACTCAATGGAATTCAACCTTGACTAACCGAATAGTTGAATAGATACCAGAAAAACCAGCTCCGACAATCACAACCCTCATCGGACGCTGATTCTCAACAGGAGTGTCCTTAAGGGTAAACTTGGCCCGGTTCTCTCCAGAACCGATCTGTGTGGCAGCATAGCCATTCTGACCAAGATGGTCGCCGTTAGTTTTAGGAGAGTCGTCAATCATATTTTCTGTATGTAATGTGTATTTCGTATTTCTCTGATAGAGTTTCGCTCTCGTATTGGTAATATCGTCGTTTGCATGCCATGTTACCTACGAATGTGGGGTACTAAGCATAACTAAATACCACGTCTGTGGAGTATGCATTGTATTCTACTAACTCGGCACTGCCGAGGGACTACAGAATAATGATCACAGGATCGAAAATTTCCCAAGGTAAAAGGAAACGCGGCCGTTGCACGAGGCTAGTCAATACAGTGCATCAACGTAATGCCGAGGCGATAATCCCGAGGGTCGCGGGCTGGATAACTCCAAGGCAAAGAGGCTGGACGTAGAATATAGCCGTATCCCCAAAGGAATCTCTAGTCTCGATAGTCTCGATGACAGTGTCTTACAGATTATTCTTTGATCCTGCTGAACGCCATCATGGTCTTCGAATCACCAGCGTGGGCGCGAGCGCTCCCTCGAGTGTCTCTCCCAGACAGCATCACAATCGAAGAATTCATGTATTCAGATCAACATGGCCGCAAACCATTGAAACTGTCCCGTAATCCATACACTTGCGGATTGACGGGTCAGACATATACTGTTGCTGAGGTCAAGGAAAGGGTCGACTACATGGCCAGGGCCATAGCGAAACGACTCGATTGGAGTGTCGCCAACGGCACGGAATGGGACAAGGTGGCCTGTGTTTTCTCTTGGAACACGGTAAGACAACAAGATTTGAAGATATGAAAAAGGG